ACGGTCGCCGCAGTCCGACCACACCAGTCCACACTGTTGTACACCTCTGTAAGTCTACCCCCACCCCTCCGCCTCCACCTAAGCTCGCACAGCTATTAGGAGTGCGCGCACACCTAAAGATTTATCGCGATAACAGAGTACTTAAAAAAAATCCAAGGTTTTGGATTAATATTGGCCAATATCATTACATTATTGAATTAATAAATAGATATAATAAGGATCCGTTAGCAGATCCTTATTATATCAAAACACTCAATTCCAACGTGTAGGCTAACTACACGTTGGAATTGAGTGTTTTGCTTTTTTTAATAATCAAAATTTCCCAGGCCTAAAAATACATTTTAGCTAATCACCTATGAAGTCAGCGCTGTGAGGCCAAAAAAAATAAAATAAAATACAATAATTTAGAGTTTTTGTAAGAAGGAGCGGGGAAGGCCGTCGCTTTGCTGAGAAATCTCACGGGCATGTCACCTTGCGTTATGTAAAGGCTTCATCGCTTAATCTAAATGAGCTCTCGGAATTTTAACAGAGTTTAAATGTGCCCTTTAACACTGGAGATATAATCAGCACACGCGTAAATAAAGAGGCCTCGGATGCATCTGTAGAGGGTTTATGATGCTGACGAGAAATGCTGGCTCGTAAGCGATACACAGAGGAGGATGTGCGTGGGCGAATTTAAAGATGTTTTTTTTTTTTTCTTTAGCAGGTTAAAGGCAAACACAATAAAATGATCATACAAAATAAAACAAAAACTCGGATAATTATAGGCTTTGCATATATTATCGAACTGGATCTCACTCCTGTTTGTGCCTGTTTGTTTGTTGTCACTTTCCGCTGATTATGAATCCCATCTGCTTCTCTTTAGTCTAATTAGAGGGAATAAAACGGAGAGCGACCCGGCACGTGCAGATGACTGAACGCGAGTGCAGCAGCACACCTCTCTTCCGGGGACGGAGCCAGCAGTGCTGCCTTCTTGCGCTCTTTCCAGTGGCAAGACAAAAGAGAGAGAGAGAGAGAGAGAGAGAGAGAGAGAGGTGGTGGTGGTGGGGGGACGGAGAAAAAAAAATGCACGTCACATTTCTGGAAAGCAAATGCTACGAAACGCGAAG